TGTTAAATCAACTTTAGTATGTTGAACAAGCTAAAGGAAGTCAGGAGAGCAAAGCGTGAACAAAGAGGGGGTGTCAATAAAGAGAGAAATTATAGAAAGGAGCCAAAAGGAACCAGAAGGAAACCGGGAGCTGAAAGTACAACAGCTGAAATGAGAGATGCCCCAGAGAGAGTCTGCAGCAGGTTTGGTCAGGCAGAAGAAAGCTCCTGCTGACGTGAAGATAAGACCATCCACGTGACCCGTTCTAAGGAGCAGAAACGAAAAAGAATGAAGGAGAAAGGGAGGGAGAGGGAGAGAGATACATCCAGGTGGGAGCGCAGCAGCGATCAGCCGCCCGCACCCCCCCCACTGGGGATCCAGCAGGAAACCGGCCACCTCCAGTGTGTGGGATGACACCCAAGTGAGGGAGCCAAACTGGCCAGGGCCCGAGACTTTATTTTATTTTATTTATTTTTATTTTTTAATTTTTTTAATTTTTTAAAAATTTTATTTTATTTTATTTAAACTAATTTTTTAAAAAATATATCTTTATTGATTTCAGAGAGAGGAAAGGAGGTGGAGAGAGAGAGATAGAAACATCAATAATGAGAGAGTCATTGATCGGCTGCCTAGCCTGCAACCCAGGCATGTGCCCTGACCGGGAATCGAACCCCGATTGCCTGGGTCCTTGGTCGATGCTCAACCGCTGAGCCACGCCCGGCCGGGCCCGAGACTTTATTTTTAATTGTTTGTCCCAACGGTGTCCACTAACTGCCTCATTTCCTCCGTGTTTTTGCGTGAGACCCACCAGCACTCTGCTCCATGACCATCTCCATCCCTCTGTCCTGCTCTGCTTTTCCTTTCTGAATAGCCCTTTTTACTCCCTAATTTACACCCCCCCTTTTTTTTGGTTAATCCTCACTGGACAATATTTTTTCCGTTGATTTTTAGAGAGTAGAAGGGAGGTCCCGAGGAGGGGGTGGGAAGAGAGAGAGAAGCGTCAACTGGTTGCCCCAAGAGAGGCCTGGGATTGAACCTGCCCCTGACCAGGAATCAAACCCATGGCCCTTTCAGTCTGCAGGCCAATGCTCTAACCACTGAGCACAGCGGCTAGGGCACACCCCCTTTTTTATGTTTATGCCTCTCCTGCCTCAGGTGGGGGTCTATGCATTTTTAAAAAAAATGTCTTTATTGATTTTCAAGAGACAAGGGGAGAGGGAGAGAGACAGAAACATCAGTGATGAGAGAGTCATTGATCAGCTGCCTGCTGGGGATCGAGGAGCCTGCAACCCGGGCATGTGCCCTGACTGGGAATCGAACCGTGATCTCCTGGATCCTAGGCCAGTGCTCAGCTGCTGAGCCACGCCGGCCGGGCTCTGTGTCTGTTTTGTTCCCTGAGGGAGGAGGTACACAGCAGGCACTACACAGGCATTTGGTGAACGCGTGAATGAGTGGAAGTCCAATAGCAGGTCCACCTTACCCCGTCCAAAAGCCAACTGCTGCTGCTGCGCCCAGTCTTACCCCATGGAGCCCCACCCTCCCAGACGTCATTCTGTTTACTCATATATGCTGCCCATACTGGGACACCCCCATCCCACCTCCCTGCCACACCCCGCCTCTCACCTGTCAGATCCTGTTAGAACCAGGTAACTGGTGCCCTTCACCTCTGCAGTCTCTGTTCACAGGTTGCTGGACTGCCCTAGGCTACAGGGCACCCCCTCCCACACTCCCGGTTTGCTTTCCCAGCCTCCTTCCCAGCCTTGCTGGGCACTGGGCACCCTGCAGAATGAATGTATTTAACCTGCTTGTGGCCTGTCTCCCCCATGCACAGGTCAGCTCCAGGCAGGGTGGCCATGGGTCCTGTTGGCCTGGGCTTCAGGGCTGAGAACCTCAGCATGGTCCCCTCTGAGGGAGGCACAGTCTTTGCCGTGCTGTTTGTTCCTAGTGCTGGGCCAGTGCGGCACCCAGTGGGTGCTGAGCACCCGCTTCATGAATGAATGAATGAATGAATGAGGGACACAGACGTCCAGAACTTTCCACCTCCCTTAGTCACCCCCCATCCTGGAGCCAGAGTTCAGCTCTTCTCTCCTGGGCAGGCGTGGCCGGGGGTGGGATGGGGTTCCAGCTGGCGGGAGGGGGAGGAGGTGCAGTGTCACTGACCAAGGCAGTGGGCCTGTTGGGCTGTGGGGTTCTGGGTGTGGTCCCAGGTCCTCAGGTGGACAGGGGATGGTGGGTCCAGCTCAGAACCGACACGGAGCACCGGCGCCACCTGGTGGCAGGACACGGGGCCCCTCCCCACCCCGTTCCCTAAAGCCGTCAGTGTCTTTAGTCCTGGAATGGAACACCCTTGGCTCTGTTTGGCCTCAGTTTCCCCACCTGTGGGATGGCCAGGGCCGTGAATAAGTCTCTAGGGAGACTCCTGCAAGTCCCTCCTGCACATTCTCCCCCTCTCTACCTCCAGGTGGGCAAGGATTCCCTGGACCAGGGCTGGGGCCGGGGCAGCGCAGCCAGAGGCTCTGGCCTCTCACCTTGCCCTGCACCTCTGTGGGGAGGGGTCCCAGGGGTGGGCAGAGGTCCCCAGAGGACACGTGGTGGGTGGGGGCACCTAGGGCCCAGCATGTGACCTCACATCTCCTCTGCCTCCCCACCTCCCTCCAGCGCTGGCCCCAGTGGCCTGGGTATCCCTTCAGCCCCTTTACAGGAATATGAGGCTTAGGGCCTCCAGAAGGGGCCCAGGTGCCGCTCTCCCTCTCCCACACATGGGTGGTGGTGGCCAAGGGAGTGTCTGGCACAACCTGGGGTCTCGTAAGTAGTGGGGAGCGGTGGGCAGGCACAGTCCTGTCCATGGTTCTGCTCTCACCCCTGGTGGCATTCATGACCGCGGCCCCATTTTAACAGGTGCACCTATAATCACCCCACTTGCCCCAAGGGGCCACCTTGCCCTGCAGACGCCATTTCTGTACTTCAGGGAAGAGGCGAGCCAGGTAGACAGGTGTTTACTGAGCAGGAGGGGCTTGTTGCTTTTGCCCACTCCCTGGTCATCTGGGGAAGCAGTGGCTTGCTGTCACCTGAAGGAGGGATAGCAGAGCCAGGGCCGGAGTTGGCAGTGTATTTGCAGAGAACAACATGACTGATGTCCTTCCGTGCACCTGAGTCAGGTGGAGATGACACCCAGGCTCCTGATGGCAGCTGAGGAGCGGGGCAGCCTGGTGGTCCTTGTGAGGGCAGACCCAGAGGGCCAGTGTTCGGTGATCTGTGGCCTGGGGTACAGAAGTCACGCTGCAGGGCCATGAACATGGTCCTCGAGCACAGATGTCACGTGCTGGCCCTCGGTGTGTGTGACAGGTCTTTGAATGGCACATCCAGCAGGTGGCCTTGGAGGTCTCTGGGAGTCGCCAGCCCTCATGGGATTGGCTGGGCCGAGGTTGGGGAGTGGGCATGGCCTGACCCCAGGAGGGCTGGAGCAGGGTGGGTGCTCCAGGGGCTTGTGGCAGCCTTGGTTCTTAGCAGACACCTTGAAGGGACAGTGCAGGGAGCTGAGGCTTGTATGTGATGTGAGGGCCCAGTGAAGGCCTAGCCTGGGCAGCAGGGCACTGGCCACCCAGTGTGTGGACCCAGCCAGCGTGGGAGTGCTCTGGGCAGGAGCTGAAGGTGGGCCTGCGTCACCTGGGTCTGGTCAGCTACTGAAAGAACAGGGGTCACACCCTGCATTCCAGGGCCCAGGGGAAGCTCCAGCAGCTGTTGGGCAGGGGTGGGGGCTGTGACCACAGGCTGTCCAGAAGGAGCCTGGACTAAGCTGAAACAGGGCAGTGAGGGACCAGGTCATCTTAGGAATGGGGCAGCCCACCCAGCCATTCTCTTGGCCCCCAGCCTGGGGGTTCAGGGAGGGGTTGAAGGCTCTTTGAGCTGAAGCCCCCAGCCTGACCCGAGAGCCCCCATGGAGCTGCAGGCCTCTGGGGAGCTGGAAGGTGCCTGGGCCCAACAGTCTTTGGTCACCCCCCACTCTGATCTTGGACTTTCCTGACAAAGCCGAGGGTGCCCAGATGTGAGTTGGTCTCCACTGCACCCCAGCAGTCCAGCCCTGGCACTTGTTTGCTCTTGATGAGACAACTGGTCTCAGCCAGCAGTCCCCTGGGTGGCAGCTGGGGAGAGAGAGATGAGGCCACTGGCTCAGTCAGCCAGGTACCCACCTTGTCTGGGTGCCACCCTCCCCCAGCCTGCCCCCTCACTGTGAAGGGAGGAAGGAGAGGGAGCTGCGGATCCTCTCCCGCTGCTCAGGGCTGCATCCAGGAGCCCCTGGGGTGACCTGTCATCTGCTAGAGATGACCTTGGCTGGGGAATGGGACCCAGACTCAGCTGAAAAGCTCTGCGGGGAGGTGGAGGGTGGAGGTCTGAGCAACCCTTTGCAGCCTTGGTGCATTTCTTGGGGTGCAGGGCAACAGGAGCAGGACTGTGTGGCATTGCAGTGACTTTGCTGGGCTCAAGGCCATTCTGAGATATCCCCCCCATCCCTGCCAGGCCAGCTGCCGGCAGTGGTAAGGTCCTGAGAGGCCTGATGCCTGCAGGCCACCCCTCCCCGGCCCTCCTGCCTCCACAGCTTCTGCTCTACTCTCCACTCGGCAGCCAGGAGGGCTTGCAGGTGGAGGTGCCTGCTCCCCACGCACACCTCAGTGCCTCCTGGGCCCCCAGGTGGAGGTCACCACCAGCCATACCCAGGACCCACAAGGTTACCTCTGTCTCCTGCCAAGCCTGATGTCCCAGGAGTCTTGGCCCGAGGGACATCCCCGGCTCCTGGACAGTAGGAAGCAGAGCCCTGGTCAGGGTGGTGGACACTCGGAAGAGGAGGCAGTGACACTGGGAGAGGCTGGGCCTTGGCCTCTGTCTGGTCTGCCTCTACCTTAGCTCAGAGCCTAGCCTGACTCTGAGTGGGTGGCCCCTTTGTCCCCCGCCCTCAGTCTCCTGTGTAGTGCACACCACCCCGACAAGGGGACACAGGGACAGCAGGGGTCGAGGTCCAACCCTCACTCCGCCTCCTGCAGCCCCCTGGGGCTCCTCTCACTGGCCCCCGTGGCTGAAGCCCAGCTCAGGCACTCACCGCACTGGATGTCACACAGCTGCTCAGGCACTGAGAAGTCCACATCCGTTCTCCAGCCCTGCAGATGGGGCAGATTGGTCAGTGCATCTATGACCCTTAGTGCACCCCACCCGAATCCCAGAGGCTGCTGGGCTGAAGGGGCCCCTGGGGCAAGGCAGGCCTGGGACAGCCTTGGGGAGGAGGGAGTGGCTG